GCAGGTGAGGGGTCTGGGGGGAATTTGGGGGGTTTTGGGGCAGTTTGGGGGTGTTTGAGGAGATCTGGGGGGGTTTGAGAGGTGTTTGGGGTCTCCCAACGCCGCCACGCGCAAGGTCAACGACCTGGTGAAACGGGCCAGGGCCGTGCAGGTGAGGGGTTGGGGGGAATTTGGGGAAGCTTTGGGGGGTTTCAGGGCAGTTTGGGGGTGTTTGAGGAAAGTTTGGGGGGATCTGGGGGGGTTTGAGTGGATCTGGGGATCCCTGTGGGTTGGGTGCTCCCGGTGGATCCCGGCAGATCCCGGCTGATCCCAAACCCCTTTTGACCCCCCCCAAGAGCCTCTGGAGATCTGGGATCTCCTGGAGACCCCTTGGAACCCTCCAGGATCCCTTGGGGGCTTTGAAAGGAGGGACCTGGGTGTTCTTTGGGGGATCCCCGTGGGTTGGGCGATCCCGGTGGATCCCGGTGGATCCCGGTGGATCCCGGCTGATCCCAAAACCCTTTAGACCCCCCCAAGAGCCTCTGGAGATCTGGGATCTCCTGGAGACCCCTTGGAGCTCTCGGGGCAGGACCTGGGGGTGCTTTGGGGGATCCCTGGCAGCTGGGTAATCCCGGTGGATCCCAGTGGATCCTGGCTCGTCCCGGCGCATCCCGTTGGATCCTGTTGGATCCCGGCGCATCCCGGTGCCTCTCCCATTGGATCCCGTTGGATCCTGTTGGATCCCAGCNGGCTCGTCCCGGCGCATCCCGTTGGATCCTGTTGGATCCCGGCGCATCCCGGTGCCTCTCCCATTGGATCCCGTTGGATCCTGTTGGATCCCAGCTGATCCCGGTGCCTTTCCCGTTGGATCCCGTTGGATCCCGTTGGATCCCGTTGGCTCCCGGTGCCTCTCCCGGTGCCTCTCCCGGTGGCTCCCGGTGGATCCCGGTGGCTCCCAGTGGCTCCCAGTGGCTCCCGGTGGATCCCGGTGGATCCCGGTGTCTCTCCCGTTGGATCCCGGTGGCTCCCGGTGGCTCCCGGTGGATCCCGGTGGCTCCCGGTGGCTCCCGGTGGCTCCCGGTGGATCCCGGTGGCTCCCGGTGGCTCCCAGTGGCTCCCGGTGTCTCTCCCGTTGGATCCCGGTGGCTCCCGGTGGCTCCCGGTGGATCCCGGTGCCTTTCCCGTTGGATCCCGGTGGCTCCCGTTGGATCCCGGTGCCTCTCCCGTTGGATCCCGTTGGATCCCGGTGGCTCCCGTTGGATCCCGGTGCCTCTCCCGGTGCAGGTGCAGGCGCTGCTGCTGCGGCGGCTGCGGCGGGAGCTGCCGGCGCTGCCGGGCGGGCGCCGGCGGCGTCTGGAGCAGCGGCTGCCGGCGCTGCTGGCCCGGATCCAGAGCGAGCTGCGCATCCCGGCCGGAGAGCTGCACGACTGCGCCCACATCCAGGTGAGCCGGCTGGGGGATCCGGGGATCCGGGGGGATTTGGGGGGATCTGAAGGGAATTTGGGGGGATCCCGGGGGTTCAGGGGGTATCTGGGGATCTCTCAGACCGTGCCTGGGGTCTCCAGATGAGCTCGATCCTGGGGATCCCAAGGGATCTGAGGGGATCTGGGGGGATCTGAAGAGATCTGAGGGGATTGAGGTGGTCCGGGGGGATCTGGGGGGTTCCAGGGGGTTCTGGGGGGATCTGGGGATCTCTCAGACCGTGCCTGGAGTCTCCAGGTGAGCCCATCCCAGGGGACCTGATGGGTTCTCCTGGGGCTTTTCATCCCTTTGACCCCTTTTCTTCCCATCTGATGGAGTTTTTTGGTGCTTTGATGGATTTTCATGGGACCTGATCGGGTTTTTTGTTTATTGATGAGTCTTTTGGGGACCTGATGGGATCTCCTGGGTTTTTTCACCCCTTTGACCCCTTTTCCTCCCATCTGATGCGTTTTTTGGTGCTTTGATGGATTTTCATGGGACCTGATCGGGTTTTTTGTGCTTTGATGATTCTTTTGAGGACCTGATGGGATCTCCCAGGGTTTTTCATCCCTTTGACCCCTTTCCATCCCATCCGACGGGGTTTTTTGGTGCTTTGATGGATTTTCATGGTATCTGATGAGTTTTTTGGTGCTTTGAAGGATTTTCATGGGACCTGATGGGCTCTCCCAGGGTTTTTCACCCCTTTGACCCCTTTCCCTCCCATCTGATGCGTTTTTTTGGTGCTTTGATGGATTTTCATGGTATCTGATCAGTTTTTTGGTGCTTTGATGGATTTTCATGGGACCTGATGGGCTCTCCCGGGGTTTTTCACCCCTTTGACCCCTTTCCCTCCCATCCGACGGGGTTTTTTTTACCCCCAACCCCTCTTGCCCCGTTCCGCCCGTGTCCCCCCACGTGTCCCCCCAGGAGCAGCTGCTGTCGCGGGAGCCATCGCGGCTGCCGCGGCCGAAGCGGCGGCTGCTGGCGGGGCTGGAGGAGCTGCTGGGCCGGGACCTGCCGGCGCTGAGCCCGCTGCTGGCCCGCGCGGCGCCCGCCCAGCCCGGCGTGCGCGGCGGCGCCTTCGACGGGGCCCTGGGGCCCTTCGGCCGCGAGGACGACGACGACGACGACGACGACGACGACGACGACGACGACGAGTGGGTGGTGATGAAGGACAAGGCCAAGTACGACGAGATCTTCTACGGGCTGGCGCCCAGCGGCGGCAAGCTGAGCGGGCGGCGCGCCAAGGGCTGGATGGTGGCCAGCAAGCTGCCCAGCTCCGTGCTGGGGCGCATCTGGCAGCTCAGCGACGTCGACAGGGACGGCATGCTGGACCACGAGGAGTTCGCGCTGGCCGGGCACCTGATCGGGGCCAAGCTGGAGGGACGGGGGCTGCCCGCCGACCTGCCGCCGCGCCTGGTGCCGCCCTCCAAGAGGAGGCACAAGGGCTCGGCGGAGTGAGCCCGAAAAATCCCATTGAAAACCCCGAAAACCCGCCCAGAAATAGCCAAAAAATCCACCCAGAAATAGCCAAAAACCCGACCAAAACCCACCCAGAAGTAGCCAAAATTCCACCCAGAAAAGCCCAAAAATCTGCCCAGAAAAACCCAAAAATTCGCCCAGAAAAACCCAAAAATCAGGGACCCCAATAAAGGCAGAGCAGGGCTGGAGGAGCTCTCCTGAATTTTGGGGTGAGGGAACATTTTTGGGGGATTTGCGGCTCGTTTTTTGGGGGATTTGGGGTTATTTTGGGGGGATTTTGGGCTCATTTGGGGAGATTTGGGGATCATTTTGGGGAGACTCAGGGGTTATTTTTAGGGGAATTTTTGGCTCATTTTGGGTGATTTTGGGATTATTTTGGGGGGATTTGGGGATCATTTTGGGGAGACTCTGTGATTATTTTTGAGGGGATTTTGGGCTCCTTTTGGGGGGATTTGGGGATCATTTTGGGGAGACTCTGTGATTATTTTTAGGGGAATTTTGTGCTGATTTTGAGGGGATTTTGGACTCTTTTTTGGGGGTATTTTGGGCTCATTTTTGGGGGGATTTGGGGTCATCCCCCCTCAGCTGCTGATGGGCCTTGACCTCCCCAAGATGGCGTCAGGCCCGTGCCAAAACGGCGACGCAACTTTTCCGCCCATTTCAAAGATGGCGACAGGGGAACTTCCGGTGTTTCCCGTGAGGGCGCCAGGCTTTTTCCAGTCCTTCCCAAGACGGCCACGGAAAGATTCCCGCCCTTCCTAAAGATGGCGACCACGTTGCCCACGGCCCTTCCTCCCCGCGGCGCTCGGGGATGGTTTTGCGGGGCTTGGGGCACACCCGAGAGGACTCGTGGCAAGTCTGGGAGGTTCAGGAATCCTGGGCGTGTTTTTAACGCGTTTCAAACCCGCTTTTTGCGCAAATCTCCACCCCGCGCCCTTCCCAAACATGGCGGCGCCACCGCGTCACTCCCTTCCTTAAGATGGCGGCCCCCAGCTCTTCCCGCCCTTTTTTCCGCCGCGGCGGCCGGAAGTTGCCTCAGGGCGTTTCCGGTTCCCTCCCGCCGCTCCCTCACGAAATGGCGGCGGCCGAGGAGTTCCTCGCCTTCAACCCCGCGGGCCGCGCCGGCCCCGCCGCCGCCTCCCGGCGCCGCTGCCGCGGGCCCCGCAACCGCAAGAAGGGCTGGAAGCGCTGGAGCGGCCCCGAGGCGCGGCTGGGCCGCGAAATCGGCGATTTCCTGGAGGATGTGGGGCTGCAGGAGCGGGCGGCGGGGTGAGCGGGGCGTCCTGAGGGGAGCTGGGGGGTCCTGAGGGGA